TTTTCACGGGCTCGGGGAACACGGGCCTCGCGCGGCTTGTAAATATTCGCGCGCGCGCGCGCGCACTCCACTCCGTCCGGGAGGCTTAATTGGCACAAGGACGGAGAAGCGGCTGTGGACAGGTCCGCCGGTTCGGAATCGGCGCGGCGCGGTGAAATCGTAAATACTTTGCCACTCACCTATATTTCGCGCCGCGACGGTACAACCGCTGGTTACCAGCCACGCAAACACCAGGCCACTGAGTAGACCTTTCCGTCGACCCTTGCGGCACTCCATCGTCAAGTTCCGAGCTCCGACTACGCCTGCAAACAAAACAAAACCCCGGCATCGTTAGAGGGTGAGAGTAATTGCTACCGCGAGCGTTACACCGACCGCAGCGCGGCCAGATTTTTCATTCGGTTATGTTCCACCATTTTTCGCGGGGAGGAAACATCTTGACCGGTTGGAACGAGGGGAGAGTCACGTCGCGGAGGTTAACTTCGTGTCGCGTAATATTTAACGAGATTTTATACAAATTCCGAATTTAAAATAAATTTAATACGAGTTTAGAGAACGGAGAGAGAGAAAGAGAGAAAGAGAGATCGAAGAAAATTGTATACCGATCGATTAATTTTTCCGCTACCCGATTTTAAATTTTTAAACTCGGGATAAAATCGGAATCGATAAGTGGAACAAAGCCTTTCTAAATTCCTCCAATATATCGGAGATCACGCCTCGTGTTCGACGCACACGCGGGCTGCGTTTTTTTCCCTCCCCCTCCCTTGTCCCGAGATTTAAACTCGACGTCAGTCGCATTCTCGCGAAATCCCTTTGTCGCGCGGCATTATCGAAGGAAAACATGTTATCCGCGCGATTCCACGCCTAATCCAGCTCGCGCGCACCTGCTCTCCTATCGCCGTTCGAAATTCGTAACGATGACATCCCGCTACGAGGATTTTTCACGCACGAGTCGATTTCCCGTTATCCCTCCAGCTACGCTCTGCACCGAATCCGCTACCCTGCGAACAATGTTTGTTAAATGTTCGTTAAATCGACAAATTTCGATTCTCGAGGGTACGTAACTCTTTCTCCCCTCGATTTTTTCCAAAATGGAAAAAAAAAAAAAAAAAAAAAAAAACAAGGAAACCGTGTGCGTGGCGAGGAAAGGAAATTGCAACGCTGTTGTCGGAATGGAACCGTGCAAATCAGCTTAATTCAGAGAAAACGGGCGCAAAGAGGGCGGGAAGCGGCCTCTCTCTCTCTCTCTCTTTCTCTCTTTCTCTAGGACTCGACTCTCGAGGGTTAAGCGAGCGATCCGAGCGCACGAGAGCCGAGCGCACTGTGCGCCCCGTGAATGTGGGTTAACGAAGGCAAAAAAGGAAAACAATTTTCGCATCAGCGTTTCGGCATTCGGCGCACAATGGGACGAATGAAAACATTCGGGTCCGAGCGGGATGAGGGGCGAAGAATGTAGAGAACGAAACGAAGCGCGGCGTCCAAAAGAGAAAAAGGGCCGTGAAAAACAGAGGAACGGAAATAGAGCGCGGTAACGCCAATGCCGTGTTTCCCCTCTCCACCCTTTCCCAGTCCGCACAACCGGAATACTACTAGCAGAAACTCCCCAACTATTTATTTCCGTTAAGAGTTGTGCGCCTCTTATACCCCTCTTTTTCCGAATCCCGGAACAGAGATTTCCGATTCTCCGTGTCGCCATCATCCCTCGCGTATCTCCAAATCTTTTTTTTTTCTTTTATTCATTCGAGTCAATCATCAAATCTCAAATCCCATTAATAGCATTCTCCGAAAATCTGTACACCATCAACGTCAAACGATCTCGCGTTACGCCAACTCGCCCCTTAACTCTCGTATCACCGCGTCGTGCGGCTCGATTTTACGCGACGCTGTTCGCAAGCGGATCACGATCCCGTGCAAACGCACTAACGACCGGTACACGTTTGGACCATTGCCAGTGTACGATCGTCGGCCAACGCGTCGCGAGTTCGAGCCGCGTGAATTTTTCCAACGAGTCTAATTAAATCGCGCGGCGAACGGTCTCCAAACCATTTCCCTCCACCCCTTTTGTTTTCCCTTCCAGCCACGTCCACATCTCGGGCGCCGCGCTCCCCGATCTTTCGCTCCCTCTTTCTCTCCTTCCCCCGTTCCCCGTTGAACGGCCGGTTAATACGAGCCGGCAGGATCGCGCAGCGATCCTTGATTATCGCGGAAACATCTGTAAACTCGGGGAGAAACAATGATAATTGAATAGAGCGCGCCGTTCTTCTGGCCGCGCACACGTCCGACGCATCACGCATAATTAATCCGACGATGCTTATCTCCTCTAACCTTGTACCCGCGGCGTCCACCACGTACGCGTGAATAGAATCCACCGCGCGCGATTCCCTTTTCATCGCCGCTCCCTCCCCCTCCGCCCGCCTCTCCATCGATTCTTCGTATTCGTTCCTTCCGTTTTCCCTCTGTTTAAATGCCTCAATTCTCCTCCTCGGTTCCTCTCTCCCGCGATTTGCACCACGAGCAGCGCGACCAGCTTCTCAATCAATCGAGTCCTCTCTACAGAATATCTCTACTTTTGTTTGATTATTCTCGCGACTCGATGCAGTGGCGAAGCTAAATTAAATCCGTTTATCATCCCTGACTTGTGATTCGATTAATTACGGTGGATCGTGGGAAATAAGAAACGTAGGATTCTGTGCAAACAAATATTACGAAATATAATCGATGATCACGTGTATATCGCGTCGCGAGATATTAAATCTCGGAAGAGGCAACGAGCAGTAAAAGGGAAACGTAATAAAAAGCGCGTTTCCCGCGTCGGGCCGCCGATATCCACGGGTGAAAAGCTTTATGCGGTATATATTCAAGAACGCCCCGTTATCGAGATCCCCCAGAAAAATCCCCAATTCGCGTGCACCCGCGCTTTCCTAGCGGGAGAGGAGGAAGAGGGGGCAGGAGAACGTTATTGTTTGCCCCGGCGGTCCCGGGCTAATTACATTCCCACGTATTTGCACAAGCGCCACGATAATTGCGATAAACCCGATGACAACGCGATTTCCATCTCTCGCGCAAGTTGGCCAACCACGCGGCCTATCCCGATATACAATTGGCCCCGCTCGCTATCGTAATCCCGGCCGATTCTTTTTTTCCTTTTTTTTTCTTTTTTTCCTCCTCGAGCGAATACGCGATCGCTTGGTAACCGGCCAGTCGCGGCCCGACTGGCTACTGACTGTATTTTTCAAGATCGGTAATCGAGAGAGTCCTCCGCGATGCGTTCACCGCGAAGAAATTCCAAGAATTCCGCTTATCGGGTCGTCGAATCGCGTTTCGATTCGCGGCCCGATCTCCGCCCCGGGGAGGGGATTTATGCGTGTTTTTTTTTTTTTTTTTTTTTTTCTTTAGAAACGTTGCCACAATGATACTCATATCTTGGGAATTGCGAGTAAATGCATTTGCATTTCACGGTTCGGCGCGTGCGTGGCGTTGTTCGACGGCGATGTTCGATTCGGTTTACGAGATACGTAATTTAAAAATTCGATTTCGTAAATGATACGGGGGAAAAGCGTGTCATTAATGACTTTTGTGACCAACGATTTCTCGATCATATACATCACTCGAGTCTTAGACATCACGTTACCCCGATATTTGACACGTGCAGCGGAATCTCTTCGGTTTAAACGCGTCTCTCCTCCTTTTCCTTCCTCGTCATCGTCCAACTGCATCCGCGCTCTAAACTTTCATCAAATACAATTCCCGACGAGGGAGAGGGAGAGAGGAATACCGATACAGTAGAAACGAGCAACAGCTCCTCCTCGTGTGATGATAAAATTCGTGATTACCCACCGAGATTTAACGAGATCTCCTCCTCGAAACCGAAAAACCAGTTAGAGCGCGTTAAAACGGGGGAGGGCGGCGTAATTGCGATAACACGGGTAATCGGGCGCGATTCGGGATAATTCGGGAGGTCAGTTAAAATCGTTTCGAGGCCCCTCGGTTCCCTCGAGGGGTTGGGGAGAGGGGATTGGCGGTTGTTGGCGGACGAAGCTGATGGGTAACTAGGCCGCTTTGTCGGTCCCCTGCCGGTCGTTGAGGCGCGATCTCGCGACTGATTTCGAGCGCGAAACGCGTTAATTCGGCGGGCACGGATCCGATCCGCGCGAGACGGACGCGAAAAATGGGGTGGTTGCTGATCGACGGGAAAATTATTTGTTGAAAATGGCGTTATCGGGGCGGGGGCCCACCACGGGGGCTGGATTTGCACGGTTTCAATTTTACACCCAGACGCATTTTAATGCGGCCGCGGAAACCCCGAACGCGATCGCCATTCCCCGGC